ATTGAAAAGGTCATAGACAGGCCTACACAGACTCCCCTGTGTGGTTTTACGTTTTAACGTTTGTTTATATCAAACAAAAGAGGTAAATCGCTCAAAGACATACTCGTCAGAGCGAAGCTTTAATTAAAGGCTTTTGCGTCGCAAACGTAAAACCACACAGGGGAGTCTGTGCAGGCCTGTCTATGACCTTTTCAATTTGGTTAACGTATTGTGAGCGGTGCTGTAGCTTCAAAACCATGGGCTAAAATGTGACCCAAGTAAATCTTAAACCAGGGTTAGGTTTGTGAACTGTATTGTTTCATCTTGTGTTTCATACATTCACCCTGCTGGTTGAACTAGGTGCACATGTATGTCATGCCCTGCATTTTATTAAAGCCAGTGTCCAAATACTTTGAATTAGACCCCAGGCCTTTGCATTTTATGCTTCAATGGTCCACCTTCTGGCTTGAGAAAATATTTAAACCCTTTGTTGCCTGAGAGTGGGCACAAGATGCTATTACATGCTCAGTATATAATCATAGTTTCTGAAATTTTCACAACTCAAAGGTCATTGAAAGTTAAAAGTTCTGAAAGTAAAAAAAATGTATTTTTATTAGAATCAATTGGCCAGGTCTGAATTAATTATGATGAGCAGAATACATTACAATATAATGTTTGCTTATTATATATGCTAGAAAAAGGTAAAAAATAATTTTTCTTTGAAAGTATTGCATAAGAAATTTTCATGGGTTTCATTTCAAAAGATATGTTGCTCTTGCTTGGATTATGCTGTCAAGATCACAATACAGAATGTATACATAACCAACAGTAAGAAAATGTGCACTCTCTTTGTGTGTGATCCTGTTACATGTAATGTGGTTATTTTATAAGGAAAATGTCATTGTGGCTTATGAACAGTCAAAAGTAGTGGGGTACCTCTTTTGACCAAACATAAGCTCTTTGGAGTTTCCTGTTGCTTGATTACAAGAGAGATTTAGGCTTCCACGCCCATCTGGCGGCAGTAGTTTTGATGGGGTATTATGACATACTTTCTAAAAACTTCCTTCCTCTTTTAACTTACGACCCTGCTCTAGAATTGGCTTGTAATGCTTCTATTGCTGGTGTAAACCAATGCTAAGGGAACTCAGTATTAAAATGATATGAATTTGTTATATGTTACAATTAAACACAATGTTGTTTAGGTCCTGGATAAAAATCTTGTGGCAAATTATGATCCATATATTAATTAATATGTTAAATTAATTCCCTAAAGTGAAAACACTGACAAGCAAAATTTTAAAAATTGTTGTCAGTATTTAACTGCATTAAATTTTGAATTAAATTTTTTATCATTTTCATTCCTGTGTTCTATTGAGCAACATTTTGAGTGGTTCAATGGTGAAATACTATTAATAACTTTCACATAAATTGTTATTTGATTTTATTTTTTCAGGAATCTCTGATCCCAAAGACTTCATTCCTTCAGCTGGCTCCTTGTCTGACCAATCAGCTGGCTTTTGGAATACCACTGTGACATCACCAAAATGTGATCAACAAAAGATTGCAAATGGTGTGTGAGGGAGCTCAGGTAACCATAAGGCTGTCAAATAATA